ATGGGTATTCATATACCAAGGTTTAGACTGCCATCCAGCCTTGGCATATACCTAGTGGAGCGCTTATAGAAAGTTAGTGAGATGGACAATAATACTCAGATCCAATTTATGCAGGTGATAATGTAAAAAAAAAGGAGAAATAAAATATAGTATAAATCTGTAGAGAAGATAATTCTAGATATAAGTGGTGGAGAATTCCAACTCACATTTACTAGAGTCTATAATGGGATAGGCTCAAATTGCAAACGTTTCTGTGCCGTCTGGTGGCACCTAACCCTTTTTAGCTTGTTGGTTTTCCTCAAAAAGAATAGAAACAGGAAAAACTCATTTGGTGTAGTATATACTGTCCCAGTTGTTATATCACTTTAAAAAGCAAATCAGTGCTCACCTTTACCAGAGCCCCTGGTACCTGGCTCTGGGTATAATCGCTTGAGTACCTGTAGAAGCAGAAGTTGAGGTAGTCGAGAAGGGACTTTAAAATATATATTTATTCAAACAAAATAAAACAAATAAAATACAAGTAAAAAACAATGGTATCCTTGAGTGGACTCCTCTCACCGAGACGCGTTTCTCCCAATGCCTTGGGCTTCTTCAATCCGACACACTATGTCTTCAATCGGTATGCTGTATCTCTTGCTTCCTTCTGTTCTTATATATCTTCATTAATGTCCCCATAGGTTCATTTGAATCACCGTCCTACAATAGTTCAGTTTCATCAATTTACTCCTAAATCAGTTCATTCCCTTCACCTGTGTGCCGGGTTCTCATGCGGCGTCATCCATCGCGTCACATCCGGTCCAGATGCGGCCATAACCCTTAAGGGCATTCCAGTCATGTTGGCTATTCCGGAAATGACGCGTTCGTATCCGACGCCACTTCAAACCATCACACATATATACCCATTTGCATGCCGGGAAGTGTAGTCCCATTGAACCAGTACACTTGCGAGGTGATATACTCGCGGTCCATCAAAAAAGGGGAGAAAAAGAAAAAAAGATAAAAGGTAAAAAATAAAACATACCCTTTAGGTACAAATATGAAAAATCACTTGATTCAATGCAAATAATAAAACGAACTGCCCCACTTTTATCCTCATACAATGTTCTTAAAAGGATACATAGTAAAAGGAACAGTAACCTCTTCATGCAAAACAACATTGAGCCTGAATGCAATAGTGACCCTCAGTTCTTCTAATATTAGCAATTCCCAATGTCTTATTTGATGACTAAACTCATTTCTAAAAGCTAAAATGGTATATCAAAAAGCCATTCACTTCGCAATTTTTAATAATATACATGAAAGACGCTTTAAAAAAAAATAATGATCATAAAAAGATACTCATAGAAAGTGACATAATTCAAAATCATTGTTTAATCCTTTTGGGAGTAGAGTCTCTAGATTAAAAATCCAGCGCATCTCGCTGATCTCTTCGATCAGGAAGAGGAGGATTTCATCCAGGAATGGATGGATATGCTAGAAAACATTTCCTTTGGTCTGATGGGACTAATTGTCAGGAGGCGGAGTAGTACCCTTAAGAAAATAGATGGCGAAATGAATACCATCCAGCAATCTTTAAAAGAGAGGATGCTACCTAGTGAATACTCCCTTATGACTTTCAGGCCAATTTGGAAAGAATAGAGAAAGGGGTAGTAGAAATTAGGAAAAGGAAATACCTAAGGGATAAGTGTGATTACACCAATAATCAAGTTAGGATGTATTCTAACAAGTATAAGAAATTTCCCAAAACATTGCAGGGAAATGACAAAACACATGCCTATAGGCAACCACCTATCTACTCTCCACCCAAAAGAAAGTATCAACCTAGACCTATGAGTAGGTCAAGCAGTGAGCAGTTACAGACACAAGGAAATAAGGAGGGATAACCATTCACCCAGGAGAGAAGAGCCCATAAGGCATCCAAGGGAATCTCGGTAAGAGAACCTCGGTCCCCAGGTAGGGTAGTAAGGCAAAAGGAGTGTATACAGACACCCAAGAGAAGACATGGATCCCAAAAAGAAAGTAGAAGGGACAACTTTAGAGTACACCATCAAGAAGTGCAATCCCACTTTGTAACAGGTTCACCCACCTACACAATTCCCCTAAAGAGGAGGTTTTTCGGATTTCGTATGCGAAAGACAGACACAGGGTTCTAGGGGGAGGGGGAAGTCACCCAGGAAGACACAGAGAAGCGTGGAGGAGAAGTTTCTGTCCAGAAGAGAATAAAGGGACAGAAGAAGGTGTAGCAAACCCGCCCCTTTAACGGAGTTTGCCATGTATTCTTGGAGGGGGCTGCTGGCCCGCCTCCTACCCAGTGATTATGGTCCCGGAAAGATGTGGCCCTTTAAGTACAATATTTGGGCATATTGGATTTGTATGGTGCTGCTAGCCCTTTAAGGACCATTTTGGGGCATGACGAAAATTTGGGACAATGCCCCTTTAAATCTGTGTCCCCAGACCTATTTGGCTCAAAGCCCCTTTAAAACTGTGTCCCCAGTGTCCCCAGACTTGTTTGGGACACTGCCCCTTTAAGATGGTGTCCCCAATGTTCCCAGACTTTGGAAATAACTTTTAAATGGCTTTTTCCCTTATGGTTCAGTAATTGGGGCTTACCGAGCCATTCACTGCACAGGCGGACCACCCAGAGCTGGAAGTGTGCAGGCAATTTACCTCCCAGGCTGGGAGCCTGCTGTAGGTAAATTGCCAAACGCTGGGGGGCCGCCGTTCGCGCAAACGAACACGTGGCGGCGGCCATCTTTTTTTATTAAATGCGGTCAGCGGTGTGTGTAGCCAAATTCATGGAACTGAAATTCCTGAGCCTTAACTTCTCCAACAATGATTTTGCAGCCGCAGAAACTAAGTCCCATTTGGCGATGGGGCTTAGTCGTTTTTTTCAGCCTGAAATAGACCGACCGCACAGCCCAAATCTATGGAACTGTTTTGGGCATGAAAATGTGCTTGCGGTCGGTCAAAAAGGGACCCCCAGCTAACTTTTTAACCCCTGGATGGAATTAGCTGAATTTTGGATATGTTTATAATTAAAGTGTGCGGAGTTCAAATATGTAATTTATGTTTGTGGCATGTATATTTTTGAAGTTATTAATATTTTGTAAAAACTGGATTTCTCTGCCTGTGATAATTATATTAACCATTGTGTTCAGTAATAATATCACAGGCAGAGGGGAGGATTTTGTGTGGGAGTGTCTGTGTGTATTGTACGGATTGATTGGTTGTATTTCAAAATCCTGTGTGCAGTACTATGTTTGTGCATTGTGAATAAAAGAGGCTGTATGTGCCAGTACAGTCAGTTTTACTTCACCCTCAATTTGGAGTGCCGTCTCTTATTGAGGGAATCTGCTACAAGGGATTGCTATGCTCTGCATACTCTCTTGCTAAATCACTACTAAGCTCTTGTAAGAGCTTGTTCCTGCCTTGCTCTCTGAAGGAGTCCATGGTGGTTATGGTGTCGGCTGGAGTGCTTGGAGCCCTCAGGAAGCGCTAGGAGCATCCTTCAACGGAGGTAGCCAGTCAGGGTGCCAGGTGATCCGTTACAGAAGGTGCCAGAACAATGTGGCATCTTCATCCTCACATCTAGAACTTTGAACAATGGAGAGGTCAAATTGCTAAGTAGAGGGCTGAAATTTGCCTCTACTAAGAGTTTGAATAAATTCGATACATATATAGACCTTCAGAAAGAGAAAGACAAAGAGAAAGCTTTGTTTAAAGAAATTATTTCAAAAGAATCCCATAACTGAAAGAAGGACAGAACCGACTTCAGAATTTGTACATACAGGCCTGAGAAAACATTCAGTGTTTTTCCCGAGTTCATATGTATCAGAGGGAATGATAACATTTGAAAAGATGGTGATGCGAGATTTGGATAAAATTAAGAAACTGAATCAATATGAGCTGAATCTAAATAAATAGGAGTTGA